TCCTGTTAGGGAGTCTTTCCTCTCGACTGGTCCTTGTCGTCTCCGACCTCGTGTCCGATCTAGAGGTGCTAGCTGTCTCCTCCCTCGGGTTGACAGGCCCTAGTCTTCTCCTAGGATTAATGGTCTTCCTCATTGGCGCTCCTCCCAACCGATCTTGAACGTCTGACCTGGTTCGCTAGAGCTCTGCTGTCTATAGTTCGTCACGGCCGGGACCGTCCCCAAGCGTGTTTCCCGTCTAGGAGGCACAAAGGTGGTAATCACAGGTTCGTTCAATGCTCGCTCCTCTTTTAGCACTCCTGTGTCAAAGAGTTCTACTTCCAACTCATCCAATCGCTCTTGGAAGTCTCTGTTCAACCAAGCCTGTCCTTCTATATTATCGAAGTGGATGCCGTCCGTAGTCAGCCTGGCCTGATTCATAGCTCTCAACTCATGTTCGATGTCCATGAGGATCATCCTTCCGGCATTCCGACTTGCGAGATTCCTCCTGGATATTATTCCACCTGACTACTCCTTCGTTGTGCCTTCTCCCTGTTGCAGTTAAACTCCTTGCATTCATTGGCACAGAGCAAACTGTCAGTACCGCACAGTTGAACTTCTGCCAGAGAGTAGTAAACAAGCACATAATCATTGATTCCCATAGTGCTTCCTCCTCATCCGAGCTTCTCGAGATGTTATTTGTCCCAGTTAGGATCATTACATTAGGGATTCTCCCTGGGTTCACCAACTCCACCATCCGAAATAACTGGGCTATGGTCGCGCCTCCGAAGGCCATCACCGTGGTGACCCATGAGGTCCTCAAGTTCGAGAGTACTCTGACTAAGCTATCTCCCAGTATCAGATGCGATGTCCCTAGCGGTGGTTGCTGCAGGTTCACTGCCGGGTTCCAGGTCGCCCGATTGAAGCAAGCTCTCGAATCCGCCTCAGGAACTCCTGTGAAGTTATATTTCAAATGATTGTTCTTCTGTACATCTATTACACGTGACACTTTCTTCGCCGGCATCTTTCGTATCTTCCTCTCTGGGACCTTAGAGCTCCCCATGGGTGGCGTTGTGTCGCTAACTCCCTGTCTGGTCATCACGCTTTGGGAGAGTCGTACTCTGCCCGTATCGTCGATCGTTCCATAGGGTGCAGTCACCCCGGAACCTGGCGCATTCTTGTTGGCGACTAGTCGTCCAGCTGTCTCTATCAGCTTCTTCACCGTTTGTTCCACGACTGGGTCACCCAAGGTGTCACTCGGGTCCGGGATCGTTACTCGACCTGTTGTTGTCGGGGGTCTCGTTTCCGTTGTCTGACTCATCTCTCGAGGCGTCAAGAACTCCATCGGGGACTGCCCACGAGGAATACTCCTTGCAGGTATCGCTTTTTCCACGGCTGTAGTCAATGCCGCTCGTTCCGATCGCTCCTTGTAGTCCCGCCTCAAGCGCTCGATTTCTTCACCCTGCTTTTTGTTGCAGTCTTCAAACAATCTCTTACACATGTCTCTGTCTTCCTCCGTACTGACCATGCTCTTAGTCTTCTCATCCAGCTCCCTTCTCGTCCTTTCCAGTTCGTCTTCTACTCCATCCAGGTCTTGCCTGGTTCGGTTCGTTTGAACTCCTTGCTCTATTTTCGCCCTCCTTGGTGGCACAGCTGCTCTCAGTGGTGAACCAGACGAGGCAGCCTCGCTGTTCATCTCCTGATACATTCTCGTCAGCCCCGGTTTGGGCTTGGAGGGCATAAGCATTTCACCTGGTTGGTAAGTCCTAGAACTTATCAATCCAGGCTCATTCGCCAAGTCACTCCCTGAGAGAGCCCCGTTTCTCCACCTCATCACTCTCATGTTTGGGCGGTCTAGTACTCCCCTCTCTCCGTATGCTGCCACCAATAGGACTTCCGTGGGGTGGTTCCCACGGTTGTCATGCCCCAAGAAGTTTATCAGCGCGGTCAGCAACATGACTACCTCTGGGTCCTCCAGAGCGAAGTGTCGATCCATTAGCCGACGATAGATCGCATCTACCATTTGTCCTACATATGCATCTGCCAGGTCCAGGTCCAAGTTGAAATTATCCATTCTCTTTCCAGGTTTTGATTCGATTTGATTCAAGTGAGCAATTAAATGATCAATCAGGATCTAGAAAAGAGGTCACGAATATCACACCTGTCAGTTTCACCTTAACTTCGTTAAAATTTATTTAAAACAGTCAGATAAAAAGTTTTTGATCCTAAAATTTATTAAAATCAATCGGTCTCTAAAACTTTGGAATTCGACCTAAGATTGGACAGTGCAAACTTTGGATCTATTCCTAATATCGTTATTCAGTTGTTCGTGGTCACTAACTCCTTCTTACCCAGGACCTTAGTAACATAACACAAAGCATAAAATAACACACATATCACACACTACATAATCTAGTCTAGCACCCTCTTGCACGTCACTCAGCCTATACTTAAGTAATATTTCTTATGTAAATATACTTGTATATTAGTATCAGAGAAAATTACATGTATAAGCGCGTACAGTTCTTGAGGATGCAGTCGTCCTCTGTTCGGGTCGTACACTGGAAGCGAAAGCTCCTTCACATCCCTTTCAACGACGAAGTCTCTCAATCTCGTCAAGGACAAGACTAGGTTTTCCGGGTCTACGTGCCGTTTCTCCGTTGCCCGTGTCACTAGGAAACATAGGTAATTTCCCGGTATCTGTGACGCCGCCGGAGGCAAGGCTGCTACGCCCCCTACTCCTGGTCTTTGCTTCCAAAGAAATTCTATGTTTTTATACTCTCTCTTAAAATCTGCCGCTAACGCTGTCCTAAAACTCATGTCTGCTGTGATTGCTATCGCACATCTTCTATTTGTGAGTATGAAATCACTGTCTGTTAGTATTATGCTACTTGAATATTCATTTGGTAAGTTAAAATATGACTCAACTACCCTCCCTATGCCAGGTTTTTTAGGTTCTTCGCCTGTTTCTGCTTCTAAGTCTCCTGTCTCTCTTGCTATTCTTAATTTTTTTATTATCAAGTTTTCAGTGTGGGTAAGTCTTACCCCCACTCCCCGGGCAAAAATATCCATCGACTTCCCCGTCGATCGCATACCGGATATCAAATCGAGATTGGAAGCCGGAATGAGTAGTCGCCTCTCCTGGGCAGCTCAGGAAGGATCTTCTCTTTCGGTTTTCATGTGTTTCATGCTTTCACGATCTACATCTTGAATCGTGACACTGGTCTCCTTTGGGTCCGACGTCATTTCGATCAGCCATTCCAAGACACGCAGATTCGTCAAGTCTTGTTCATATGACTGCTGTTGCTCGTCGTCGAATTCTACCTCGGGTTTCGACCGGTCAACGACCCACTCATCGTCGTGCTCATCGACTATGTCAATGTCCTGTGACACAGTTATTTCTTCTAGACCCACTACTTTTTCCCCTATCGGAGTGCTCGTTAACGGTTCTGCCGTTCATGATGTTAAAAAAAGAATAACACCCAGGAGCGCCATAAAAACATCTATGTAACATTCGCCTGGAAGTACATGTCGACGGAAAATAAAACTAGGTTCTCAGACAACTGGCCAACGTCTAAACAGCGCTCTACATGCTTTTCACCGTCTCTACCCAGCCAGTTCTTTTGGTGATCTTTTCAACATCGGGTCGACAAAAACGTTACTGTTCTCCTGCTTCGACCAGAACGCTGAAATTCACTTAATTACATGCAGAAATAGTGAGCTCATGGCATGGTCTCAGTTTCCCCTGACCACGAGGTCACTCCTAAAAACAGGGCTACTACTTTTTATTGAATTATTATTGTTTTTGCTTAGAAGATAAAAATCATCATCTCCATCGAAGATGGATCAACCCTTCCCCCCAAATCCTAGCTTCTCATCCTCGTAAAATGAATTCAGATGTTAATTAAATTCAATTCAGGGCATGATACGGAAGCTAAAAGTTTATGTAAAACAGTTTCAGTCGAAATCCCGAGACCCCTCCGGATTCTTGAATCCGGGGAAATAAGACTCTTAGTCTCCCTCCGGAAGGCTGGTTTTCCACCCTTCACCGTTGTTCGCAACGGCCTTGCAACTATTGTAGCGGCACAATAGTTGCAACTCGGAGGGGTCTCTGCTACTTTTCTCGTTGTCGTCGTCGCAACTATTGTTGTTCTGTGTCTATTTCGGTTTTTCTCCAAAATGGCCGTTTTTGACGTTTCTTAGAATAATTACGTCATCATTTTGGAATTTTTAAAATATAGGAATTTCCGAATCCTTCAGCCTTCACGATTTGTCCAATCGTCCGAACAACGCTCTTAATCCTTGAAAACCGCCAATTCGGAAGGTTCGCTGCTAAAAACTCGAAACTGCTGAATCTGCATTTTTGTACATTCTGGTCGAATGTTACAAATGTCACATTTTGCTGGCCTTCAGGTAATTTTTATTGTAATTGAAAGAGTTTTGATTTGTTACTGAAATTTTGATTTGTTACTGAAATTGTAATTTTATTAAGTGTGTAAAATTTTTCGGTTTTTCACTGGATTTGTTTGGCTTCATTTGTTTTTGCTGATGTTTTAAGGAGTAATTGACGTAGTTAAGCGTTGTTGTAAAACAATAATAGACTTTTGTGCTTTGGTGTTTGTGGAGGGGGGAGCGTAAAAATTTAGAATTTCGGAACTTTCAAAAGTTTTTCAACTGAAAACAATTTTGCTCAACGGGAGTCTAACCAACTTTTGCCGGCTTAGTTGCCGATCAATTTTCGTGTCTGATTATTTGATAAACGCCAGTTATTTTGTTTTTTTAAAAAAAGTTTGCTGAAATTTCATTTAAAATTCATTGGCTAATGGAAAAAATAATTTACGCTTTCCAATAACAACAATTCAATTGCACCAAAAACCTGATTGACTTTAAATTTCAAAAGTGGATTTTAGTTTCAAGGTTTACCAGTGGAATGAAGGAATGCATATTGGTCCAGCTTCTCAATTTAGGCTAGTTAATTCTAGTTAAAGCGTTAGAGTTCTGTTGTATCAGTTTCCTGATTTTTAAGAAGCAGTAATGTCTCGAAGATGGAGCCCCTACGATATGAATGGCGGGTGGGTATTTTAAAGTGTCCTAACTACAACTTTTGCTCATCTGTTTAAGAATGTCGTCTTATCATTTTTATCATCTGATTTATTGTATATTTCTGAAGAATTTTCATCATCTTAAGTTTTTTGTTCAAGCCTTGATTGGATCTTGATTCGCACCAAGCCACGATTTTTATTTTTTGAAGCCATCTGATGTTAGCTTGTTTAAAGCCAATCATTTGGTGAACCAATTTTTTTTTTTTTGAAAAATATAGAAGCATTGTTGCGATTGCCGGAGAAGACTTTGCGGTAATTGGAAGTGATACAAGACTTTCAACGGGCTTCACTATATGGACTCGTGAGCAGCGAAGAATTCATAAAGTGAGCGACAATACTGTTGTCGGACAAGTTGGATTCCATGGAGATTGCCAGTTCCTGAAAAAGATAATGGACACCAGAAGCAAGGTACTGGCATGCAACTATTAATTCAATTTAGATTATGATTGTTTTATTAGAAGTGTTCATTGTTCAGATGTACCACTTTGATCATGGAAAGCAAATGAGCTGCTCTGCAACGGCCTCCTTAGTCTCAAAACTTCTGTACTCTAGACGGTTTTTTCCGCTTTACGTCTACAACATTGTGATCGGATGTGAAAAGGACCCCCAAACTGGAAAATACAAAGGACTGGTGTACGGATATGATCCAGTGGGCTCATACGATTCGCAGCCATATGGTGCGCTGGGAACTGCTGGACCTTTGCTTCAACCTCTCCTGGACAATCAGGTAGGCAACATTTTTTTCAAAACAAATTAATAAGAAAATCGTGAATGAATAACTTGTGGCTAAAGATTACCAGCTCCTGAATTTAACAAGAAAATAAGTTTGTGCTTATAATGAGAGTCATCGCTGCTTTTATAGCTGGGGTATAAAAATATGGAGAATCCGACCTTCGTTCCCCTGACAAAAGAGCGTGCAATCTCACTTATCAAAGACGTCTTCATATCAGCTGCTGAGCGTGATATCTACAGTGGTGACAATGCTCACATAGTTATGGTAGATGAACAGGGAATCCACGAGGAGTTTATGCCACTCAGACGAGACTAACATCAAATGAATGAAAAAGTTACACCCAGGTTTATTGATGCAGCAACAAACTCGAATTGTGCCGAAAATTTTTTTGTCCCGAGGTTTTTCAATATAAATAAGGTATTTTTTCAATTCTCAAAGTAGTGGTCGGAAAGCAAAAGCCCCTCATGTTGTATCTTGGTTTTTTATATGAGATAGTTGGAAAAGATGGCTAATTTCATTATGGAAAAGGCTAAACTAAAATATTTCAAACCCACCAAAATAAATTCCGAGGGCAAATAAATAGCGAAATAATTTTGACGAATGATGGCAGTTTGAATGTTGAAAATATATATGCAATGAATTAAATGTTTGGAAGCTTATTAGCGTTGAAGTTGATTTGATGATCTTGAAAATTCAATTTAAAGTGAACTTTGCTCATAAACGGTTAAGGTACTAAACAAGACTGACTTAAATCATCCGGACAAAGTGAATGAAACTTGAAATATTCATTGCGTTTATCTCAAGTTCGGTTAAATTTTGTCGGCTTTGTTGTCAAAACAAAATGTTTTTTTTTCTGATTAGTTAGCAGCAGGGTTGCATAAAAATCTGATGCATATTCTCGATTGATTTGAATCCGATTTTTATTATTTTACCTTGATTTTTTCGATTTTTATTGGAAACGTTTTTGTTTCAAGAATAAAATAATTTACGCAAAATTACTGCTTAAGCATCCGAAAGAAGAACACAAGTTACCCATATTTTTTTTATTCCCAGTCAATTTCTGAGACTGGAGTGGATAAATCTGAAAGTGCTGCAAAAACTTTTCCAGTTAAAAGTATGCTATGAAGAGCGAAGTACGTAACCAATGTAACTGCAAGCTGGGTTGTATGTTTACCGCGGCACTCGGCAGGATAACACAAGGGTTGATTTCTTGATTTCTATTCATTGATTAAAATCCGATTTAAGTCATTGATTCAAATCAAGTTGATTTTAATCATGCAACCCTGGTTAGCAGCTGCTTTCTAAACCTTTTGAAGTGTCAATTTGTTTTATTTAGACAAGTTCACTATTTGATTTTTGAGAGAAAAAAATCCGTTATTTGTGAGATCAACATCAATAGAGCCAACCATGAAACATATTATAGATGGTTTTTGTTGTTGAAAGTAATGATAGATTTTCTGTGATTTTTTTCCAGGAAAAGTCCTAAGATTTGATCACGCTCAGTTTGATTCTTCGCGGTTTGACTTTTGTTTTCTTTTTAAGATCATTTCTCTTGTTTAAAGGGAGGCAAACTCACCTATTGAATAATCAGAGTGGGTAAAAGCAACGAAAAACGCAAACGAACTCGAGTTTCGAAAATGGAATTCATTTTTTAGACTTGCAACGGAATAAAAAAAATGCCTATTAATCCAGTTTTCTCAAAATGGGTTAATTTTTTCAAATAAGTGTCAATCATAATTTGTTCTCACTTAGTCTCATAAATTAATTCAGTTTTCTCGGACTTTTTCTTGAGATTATTTCAATCATCAGCCGTTAAAGCACCATAAGGGGCAGCAGCAAAATATAACATATTTTTTCGCTGTCAAATAGTAGACTGGGGTTTAGGCAGCTTGAAGTTCTATAAAATCAGAGCATTTGTTGTTAATATTTTTTGGCCGATTTTTTCTGAATTTCATTTTAATTTCAGTGGCTAATGGGAAAAATAATTTACGCTTTCCAATAACAACAATTCAATTGCACCAAAAACCTGATTGACTTCAAATTTCAAAAGTGGATTTTAGTTACAAGGTTTACCAGCGGAATGAAGTAATGCATATTGATCCAGCTTCTCATTTTAGGCTAGTTAATTCTTTCTTATGCGAGCTTGCTAGTGTAATGCTATACGTTCAATCAATTTTTTCTACGAAAGCTGCACCATTTAGCGCAATGTTCTGCTGAAAGCTTATCGCTAAAGTAATTTTAAGGGGCCTTTCTTGTACTATTTGATAATATTGATGTCAGCATCTCAAATGTTAAAAAAATAACCTGTGAACTTGATTCATTTTGCTGTTTACACTTGCGAAGCGAGTGTATGAGTACGAAACTTCTTTTTTTTCCAACCTAAGTCGCAAATTTTGGTGCGGCACCCCTATATTGGTGGGGCACCTCTACAGCTTTTTGATAGCATGTGCTTTGACATTCGAATAGTAATTCTCAGTGTTTGAAAAATGTTTTGTACTGCAAGTTTTGTGGACTAAATTATGCATGCTATTTGCATTTCTGAATCTTGCTTAATGCGTAGGCGCGACTTATTTGAGCGCGATGAGTTATTATAAACTTCGAGGGGTTCGAATAATTGTTATAGATTTAATTGAGGCAACCTGATTGGGTATAATAATTCCCGGTTAGGTTTTTCCAGACTTAGGTTTTTTAGTGCTTTCAGTTAATATTTTTGTATTTTCTTTTTATTCCGATTTTCGAAGAAAACGGAATATTTATGCTCGGTGTGGTTTTTTTATTCAGTCAATTTGCGCCGATCGAAATAATGATTTTCAACAAATTTTTTTAGACCCTTTTAAAGATATCGACTTCGTGAGTTCAAATGTAAAAAGATATATTGCCTTCGATTGTTTTTTGTAAAATTATGGGGGTATGAAAATTGCCAAACTTGTCATGTTCTGGACTAAACTTGCGCGCTTTGAAGAGTTTTTTCTTGATGCTAAGAGGTTAAGCGAGTTATTTATGCGTTGTGAATTATCCCGCTCAACAAAATCGTTCCAAATTGAATTGAGGCTAGCTAATTGGTCGTATTAATTTCGTACGACTCAAAATTGTACACATTGGTATGTCCAAAATTTATAGCTTTTCAAAAATTTCTTCCAAAGTTTTTCTTACTTGTGTTTTACAGCTACTCTTTGTCTTTTTGTCGTCTTTGTTTGCAAAGTGCAGCTGTCCCTCTGCATGAAAAGATTCAGTTGCAAAAGGTTGCTTGAATTTGACAGAGCTTTGAAATAAAATTTTATGGATCTTTTATGAGTACTTTCCTTTTTAAGTTTAATTGTTTCGGTTATTCAGTCGGCTTCATCTTTGGGTGTTTAAAGATTTTGTTCTGAGGATGACCCGAACAACAATATATTCTGCGAGCAAAATGCTGGTCTGATTTGCGCTCTTTTATCGATTTAAATTTAAGCTCGAATAATTTGCACTCAACTTGATTTGTAAACTGATTAGGGTTTGAGAATTGATTATTTGAGACAATTAAGGAATGCGGGCTTTGCATTTATCTTTTAATGCGCCGCGGGGGTGGTGAATAAACTGGCGCAGAAATCATTCAAACTTAAATTCAGGCGAGCTCATTGTTTCAATGCTGCATTGCTAGGCACAAAGCATATTGCGTTGTAGTTGATTTTGCTTGTATGGTAAAGATTTATGGCAAAATCAAAATGTTTGCAAATGTTTTTTTTTGCAAAAGTGTTTTTTTTTTGGTTATAACTACATCCATTTTCAAGGGCAGTCGGAGTATTCAGGGCTTGCCGGTGTACCAGTGGTTTGCTTTGATTTGCTCACCCATATTTTAATTGAATTGCACGTGATAGAAAATTGTACATATTTTATAACAGATGTTTTTAGATGAAATTGGGCTATTTTTCTCTTTTTCTGCATGAAATAGGTTTTTTAACGTAGATATTTGTTCTCTTTTGATTCTAATTGTACTAGCATTCCGTAGTAATTAGGGATAAATCCTTAACCTGGAAATTAAAACCTTCCGCGATAATTACTCGAACACGAGAAAGCCTCTATGCCAGAAGACCGACGTTATTTTAGAGAAAAGGTACTAATTTCAATTTCGGATGAAAAATAACGCTTATTTATCTATATTTACTTCTTAGTTCTTATATAAAGGTGGCAATTTGTTTCAACTGATTGGTTTTGTGTTCAAAAAACACAATATTTTTCTTGAGATTATTTCAATCATCAGCCGTTAAAGCACCATAAGGGGCAGCAGCAAAATATAACATATTTTTTCGCTGTCAAATAGTAGCTGGGGTTTAGGCAGCTTAAAGTTCTATAAAATCAGAGCATTTGTTGTTTATATTTTTCGGCCGATTTTGTCTGAATTTCATTTTAAATTCAGTGGCTAATGGAAAAAATAATTTACGCTTTCCAATAACAACAATTCAATTGCACCAAAAACCTGATTGACTTCAAATTTCAAAAGTGGATTTTAGTTACAAGGTTTACCAGCGGAATGAAGTAATGCATATTGATCCAGCTTCTCATTTTAGGCTAGTTAATTCTTTCTTATGCGAGCTTGCTAGTGTAATGCTATACGTTCAATCAATTTTTTCTACGAAAGCTGCACCATTTAGCGCAATGTTCTGCTGAAAGCTTATCGCTAAAGTAATTTTAAGGGGCCTTTCTTGTACTATTTGATAATATTGATGTCAGCATCTCAACTTTTAAAAAAATAACCTGTGAACTTGATTCATTTTGCTATTTACACTTGCGAAGCGAGTGTATGAGTACGAAACTTCTTTTTTTTCCAACCCAATTCGCAAATTTTGGTGCGGAACCCCTATATTGGTGGGGCACCTCTACAGCTTGTTGATAGCATGTGCTTTGACATTCGAATAGTAATTCTCAGTGTTTGAAAAATGTTTTGTACTGCAAGTTTTGTGGACTAAATTATGCATGCTATTTGCATTTCTGAATCTTGCTTAATGCGTAGGCGCGACTTATTTGAGCGCGATGAGTTATAATAAACTTCGACGGGTTCGAATAGTTGTTATAGATTTAATTGAGGCAACCTGATTGGGTATAATAATTCCCGGTTAGGTTTTTCCAGACTTAGGTTTTTTAGTGCTTTCAGTTAATATTTTTGTATTTTCTTTTTATTCCGATTTTCGAAGAAAACGAAATATTTATGCTCGGTGTGGTTTTTTTATTCAGTCAATTTGCACCGATCGAAATAATGATTTTCAACAAATTTTTTTAGACCCTTTTAAAGATATCGACTTCCTGAGTTCAAATGTAAAAAGATATATTGCCTTCGATTGTTTTTTGTAAAGTTATGGGGGTATGAAAATTGCCAAACTTGTCATGTTCTGGACTAAACTTGCGCGCTTTGAAGAGTTTTTTCATGATGCTAAGAGGTTAAGCGAGTTATTTATGCGTTGTGAATTATCCCGCTCAACAAAATAGTTCCAAATTGAATTGAGGCTAGCTAATTGGTCGTATTAATTTCGTACGACTCAAAATTGTACACATTGATATGTCCAAAATTTATAGCTTTTCAAAATTTTCTTCCAAAGTTTTTCTTACTTGTGTTTTACAGCTACTCTTTGTCGTCTTTGTTTGCAAAGTGCAGCTGTCCCTCTGCATGAAAAGATTCAGTTGCAAAAGATTGTTTGAATTTGACAGAGCTTTGAAATAATATTTTATGGTTCTTTTTTGAGTACTTTC